GTAAAAGTACTTTTAATTGTAATTTAACTTTCCCATTTATTTGGAGCAGTATTATGACTTTTACTTATTATTTCAAGTACTTTAATGACCTCTGTATAAAGGCTCCTATGAGGTATAGTGTAAAATATTAGTTTGCTAAACTTACTAATGACTTTTTTCTCTGTCACTGTTTGCATTTTTCCACGTCTCTAATATAAACAGAAGATAAAAGTTTGTTAGCAGAAGCAAAAGAAAGGCTTTATTTAAAAAAAAACATCAACATCCATYGATACCACCCACACTCTATGGACAGGAAGTCATTTACTTATTTATTAAACAAAATTTTATTTATTCTAAATTAGCATGAAGCTATTTTAACCACACATGGAGTCATTTGCAAAAATGTTTAGCAGCATCTGGCCAAGCCACAGTTAGCTTAGCATAAAACCAAAGTTGGAAACACTTTAATTACATTATATATTATATATGGTAATATGTAATGTATAAAACTGATCATGTCACTTTTATAAAAGTGTGTTTTCTGTAAATAACTGTTACTTACTTTTTAGGAGCATGTTATAATTTTGTTTTTGCTTATTCTGTTTTATTTCTTTTTAATTTATCGAAGCTGATCAACCTTATTTAGGAAATTGTTTTTATCATTTCTTTTTATATCTTTGTTTTACAGACAGCGTCTCGTTCAGCATGACAGGAAACTGCAATGGTTACATCATGATCAATTATCAAAACAGGCAGGAAAACTTGTGCAAAGCAAACGTTTCCGAGGAACTATTGAGCAACGTGTGTGGAGACAACGACTGTGGTGCTTTAAAAACAAAACAAAACAAGCAAAAGACTTCGGTAAGTTATTATTTGTATTACTCAACTTTGGATAACTGTAAGTATTTGGATAATTTGTAAAKTTAAATGCTATGATACATTAAATTTTTAAATTATGATATTCATCAAACTTAAAAAAACAAGTTCTTTAAACTTTTCATGGCAGCTATGTTGCATGAAAAAGTTACAAATACTTGTGTAAGTGCTTGATACAAGAAGTTTTTCTTCTGCTTTACTTAGTTTTTAACTTTCATGGATGCATTTTTTTCTTTTGCTTGTGTTTAAATGTAATATAAAATTTGACATTTCTTAAAGAGTAATACTCTGAGTCTGCATTGCCCGAGTACTTACAAAAATATGAGGTACTGCGTCGCAAGAGAGTCGTCGACTTGTGATGCTCAGTCCAATCTTCACATCGAATGTGCAAGTAACTAAAACTTTCAGTACATTTTCAACATATTRGTTCTTTTGTGTAAAAAAAAATACTGTAATTCATTAATATTTGAACAATTTGTGGACGAACAAAATAAAATCAAGTAATTGTCCAGTTTTACTTTTCTGTTTTTCACCTCAGAGTCTGTTCAGCCCACTACCCCACCTCCACCAGCGAAGCCGATAAAACCAGTTCCCATCCTCGTAGGAGTGGGAATCTTCCTCATCCTGGTCATCTTGATTGTGATTTTCATTCGATACCGCATTATCAGGAGAAACCGAAAAGCCAGAGTGGCATGTGAGTATTTATGTGAATATTTCTAATTAAATAAAAACTAATAATAAGCTTTGATTTGAATTAATTTCATTTGGAAAAGTTTATCATAGCTGCAAGCTGGATCATTTCTTGATTGTTAAAAAATGCGTTGAAGCGTTTTTGCCTCTAGGGGGCAGGTTTCAATCAGTCAGAGTTGGGTTTTGACTGTTTTGCAGGCTCTTATGCTCCAGATGAAACACTATAAAACAGATGCTATCGAACGGTTTTGTTTAATTTAATCTAATTTTGTCTTTTGTTTAGCAAATATGCTGCCAGAGCAAGAAGGCGAGTGGGATAGTGGGGAGTACGATGATGTGGACAAATCAGATGAACCTGAAGATTWCAGTCAAGGCAAGGAGTTTCAAAACATCAGTTATTCTGTTTTAAATTGTTTTCCCTAATCTTTAAACAAGATCTTAAGAAATTTTAACAAATGATGAACTGTATTTGTACGTTTTCACTATGTAAGGTCTGTTTTTCTCGGATGTTAAATGACCGTTGCTGTTTTTGGTGCAGGATTCAAATCAGAGTCTGAAATTAAAAACGAGAACGATGTAGAAAGCAACGCCTCTCTCAGTTACGACGATGTCGATGAGGTGGCTGAGACTCGGCCTCTCACTTCTCCGGGATCCACAGACGCTCCCTCAAAGAACAAAGTTCCTATCCTCAGTGATGGAAAGTTTTGAACCGACTTCAATCCCATCTTTTTTTTTACACGTTAGAACTATCTGCATTCAAAAGACTAACTGAAATGAAACTGTTTCCAACAGATGGCGTGACCTACGAGGTGGACGGCTCGGAGGAGAATTATGACGACATTGATGCCAGCTCTGAGGCCGCGCGGACCAGGGCTGAAGTCCACGACGGGCCCGAAACCACACAAAAAACAGATGCAGCTGCGCCTCAAGAGTCGGTGCAGAAAGACGAAGATTACCTCGTGCCCGGACAAGATGGGTGAGCCGGTCTTGGGTTGGAATTCTGTGCAAAATAAAAAGGCGTGGAGAGTTGGATGAAATCAAAATCTGTCATGCGGACTGAAAGAAAACAAAACTTTTAAAAGCTTTTTATTTTATAATGTAATAAATGTATTTTATTTGGTATTTAATATAGTGTATAAACAGTGCAGAAACAAAGTGAAACTAGAACTGCAAAGCAGTTGTGACCGGGATCCAAGCTGCTTTATGCTTGGCCCATGTCGTCCCCAGCACCTTGTTTACTTGTGCACCACAAAGTTGTAGAATGAGGCACTTGTGAATGGGGTCTACTTGAGGACTTAATTTGTTAAATTGATTTTGGTCTCTAAAAATATGTCACTCCATGTCCATATGTCCTCTGTTGTCTTTTTTTTTTTTGACTTTTTACTGGCAGCTGACATAAAAATATGTACAACATGTTGCCTTCAGGCCCAGGCTGCCCTTGCAAAAGAGATCTATGATCTCAATTGGATTTGCTTTGTTAAATAATAGTAAATAAAATTAAAATAGATAAAGAGCTGCATTATTAAAGGGGCAGTATTGTGTATTTTCCAATCACACATTTAAGACAATCATGGAACATTTTACACATGTTCAGCTATAATAAAATAAGCTAAGCTCAGTTTATTTTGCAGTAGGCCACATTGTTTATTGATAAGATTTATGTTATTGTATTATATTATCAGTCAGTTATTGTTTTAAGTGGGGTGGTTTAAAACTTAAATAATTTTATAATTTCTTTTTTTTTTTGCTTGTTTCTCTTTTTTAAAGCACATGCATATAATAAGTCATACGCTTTTTTAGTTTAGTTTTCAGAACTGAACTGTAAAACCTTCTGTATAAAAATATTATTTGTCAGTTTTAGTCTGAGCTAGATGCTAAGCTTAGTATACCAATTTTTAATTATGAATACAAAGTCTGCTAAATAAACAGTTAGCTTAGCTAATGGGTTCCCAGTGGTTTATGCTAAGTTAATTTAGCTGGTTGCTAACACTGTCTTCATATTAATAATAAACTAACCCTATTTGTTCCCATAAATGCATGTTAGGTAAAAAAGCTATACTTCCTATTAAACTGTACATAATATGTTAAATATGTCATGTTGTAACTACAATAGCATGAGTTAGCCACGACATTTTTTTCCTTTTTCTAACTTTTTATTGGATCAACATAAATATTAAAGCATGTACCTCATTGGCTGTGATTATTGGTGATCAGCTGGAGAAATAAATTGCAAGAAAATAAACAAATTTTACTAGGAAATCCACTAAATCAAACATTCTGAAGAATGCATTTGTGATATTTGTTTAATTGACGTGCAATTTATCACAATCAGATCACAAAGTGTCAATTTAATTGTGATTTATTCTCTTTGTTGCCTTCAATCAGTCACAATTTAAATTCATATTTTCTCACATCTCTCTCAATTTCCGACCTGCAAAAACTCATTTGGGAAGTTTCTTTTACTGTGATGGTTCTGCGACTCACAAAGAAGTTAAAACTTTTTACAAATATTTAAAGACATTTTAGAAAACCAGGGGCAGGTGCATTACAGAATGAGTTTCTAAAAGTCGCAGCTCAGTGAGAAATAAACTTTAGATGTTTTTTATGTATCGAGACAAGAAAATGTAACAGTTAAGTTTTTGTAAAATAGATCTTTCATGTCAAAAATCAGATTTTAATAGAAATTTCTTAAATCAGATTAACTTTTTAGTGTTTGAAAGTTTTAAATAGTTTGTATCAATTTTATGTGTTCATGTTTATTTTTAGATTGTGTTTATTTCTTCTTTTTTAATTGTTGTGTAAGTTAAAATCTTATTAAGAAGCTTCTCAAAATAAATGTTAATCATAAATAAATTGTTTTTGTTGCCAGTTTTGTGCAGATTCAACATCAAATGTTTGATCAAGCTTTTTTGTTTGGAGCTTTTTCTTCCTCCAGCTTCCTCTCAGTCTTCAGGGTTATTTGGAAACAGCTTGGATGTTGAGTATCAAACTGTATGTCAAGTAAAAATATAGTTTGATACACAGCACAACAAGCTGTTTTATCCAAAAGACGTCTTTTTAACAGTGAATCTACAGTAAGTACTGAATTTTGTGAAAGTAAATTGTTTGATCTTGATACAGCAGGTAAAATAAGTATTGAACACGTCAACATTTTTCTCAGTAAATGTATTACTAGAGGTGCTAATGA